TCTGAATTTATACATCTACAACATATGTAGATGTATAAATAATATTATTTAGCCATAAAGAGAAATGAAGTTCTGTTACATGCTTTTACGTGGATGAAACTTGAAAACATACAAGCGAAATAAGCAGACACAAAAGGATAAATATTTGATAGCACTTATATGAATTATCTGGAATAGGCAAATACATGAAGACCAAAATTTCTTAGTGGTTACCAAGTGGGAGGAGGGGAGAATGAGGAGGTATTGCCTAAGTAGTACTGAATTTCTGCTGCTTGTTGTTGTTATATGCCGTCAAGTCAGACCCAACTCATAACGACCCTCCTTGGGTTGCTGAGGCAGTATCACTATGGAAGTAGATTGCCCTGTCTTCCTTCCAAGGAGTGGCTGGTGGACTTGAACCGCCAGCCTTCTGGTTAGCAGTCAAGTGCCTTAGGCACTACGCTACCAGAGCTCCCAATTAATTTCTGCTTAGAAAAAAAGTTTTGGAAATAGTGGTAGTTTGCACAACGTTGTAAATATAATCAATGTCACTGAATTATACACTTAAAATTGTTAAAATGGAGGATTTTCTTATATATATTTTAATGTAATAAAATTAATGGTACTCCTTTTTAATAAAGAATGCTTTTTCAACTGTTTTAAAAATAGTGTTTGTTGCTTTTTAATTTACTGATTTAGGTCTTGCATGATCGATGCCATTAAAACAATTTATTGGTGCTGAAAGGAACACTTGGTGGAAACTTGTTGCCTTTCACACTTCCTAGCATATTAGATGGGAGTTCTGGTAGCATAGTGCATAAGGCACTTGACTGCTAACCAGAAGGCTGACGGTTAAAACCCACCAGCCACTCCTCGGGAGGAAGATGGCCCAATCTACTTCCATAGTGATACTGCCTCAGAAACCCAAGGAGGGGTCGCTGTGAGTCAGGTCCGACTCAATGGCACATAACAACAACAACAACAAGCATATTAGGTACTGTAGTAGTTAAGGTTGTCTATCAACGTGGCTGGGACTGGTTGAGTGCCTGCACAGCTGGATGTAGTTATTCCTCATCGTAAGGTTGGCCATCGATTCCATGGTGGAGTCTACTAGAGCAGCTCAACAACTGCTTTAGGGATGTGGTCTGCTTCCAATATAGAAGAATCGGCTTTGAGGAAGGTCCTTAGCTTTTTGGCTTGCTTGAACCCTGCGTATCGCCAAATCATTGTTCAGCAGCCTGCTATGCCCTGCTGATCTTGAGACTTCTTCTGGACCTAAATTATGACTGCCATGTTGTTTGGTAACATGGTAACAATGGGACTGTGCCTTTTTACTTGTCACCTTGGGTTTGTCAGCTTCAGCAGCCAGCAGCTGCCTGAGTGAAGAAAACCCTGTAGTGTCAGTAAGCCAGGAGCAGGAGACAGAGCTGATGCCCAAGGTTGAGGGGTTTTCACCCAGCCCCTAGAGCCTGGCACTTTGAACTCAGACATAAAGCCTCTGAAACTGTAAAAGAATAAACTCTTGTTTGTTAAAGCATCTCATTTGTGGTATATTCTTGTCAGAGCGGCACTAGGTAACCAAAACAGGTACTAAATGTCAGTTACATTAATAGATTTTAAGACTGTTAGCAATCCATGATTTTTTTTAGAAAATCAGTCCGTCTACTGAGTGGTGAGTATTTGCTTTGAATTTATTTTCACATCTCACATGATTGTGCTAATGACTTTTTCTAATAATTTGTTTATGTATTAGCATTAAAAAAAAAAAAATCCAGGGAAGATAAGATTAGTGTGTTTTTGCTCAGATGTATATCTTGCTTAGCCTAGTCTGTTTTGGAAGAATATGGTCTCCTACCCTGTTTTCTGATATAAATTTTTATTTTCTTTTAAGGTACTACCATTGCGCTCATTATTCTTGCTTTGGGATTTCTACTATCAGCCCAGGTTTCCCCACTCATCACTTTTAAACCAATAGCTCCTTCAGGTCAAAACACCACTTGCACAAGATACAGGTGAGATTTCATTATGCTCCTCTTTCTTCACTTAACTCTGCTAACTTTTTTTTTTGCTTTTAGCTTTTCTAAATTTGAGAGATGCATATGATTATACTGAGTACCCAGTTTTATGGGGTAAGGGAAGAAAATGGGAAAGGTGGTAGGAAAATACCTTCTGGAAGATGAACAGGATGTGAAGACATGAGAATGAATGAGCTTACAGAAAAGTAAGCTTTATACACAATTTTGGTGATATATCTCTGGAAATTAAAATTACAGATTTATATAGAATTTAAACAGAAATAAGGAATTCTGGTGGTGTAGTGGTTAAAGAATTCAGCTGCTTACCACCAGCAAACCTACCAGCCACTCTGCAAGAGAAAGATAAGGCAGTCTGCTTCTGTAAAGATTTACAGCCTTGGAAACCATATGGGGCAATTCTTCTCTGTCCTATAGGGTCATAATCAACTCAATGACAATGAGTTAAGCAGGAGTACTGTAAAGCTGTTTTAAAATCATATGTAATTTGATGACATCTGTATTCCAGGTGAAATAAATAATCAGTAATTAAAATGTTTGCAAGACAAGTATGTCTGATACAGTTGATTATCATCTTGATTTTCTAACAATCTTCCCAAAGTTACGTAGGTATCCTTTCATTCATTTAAGCAGAAAGGAAAGTTTTCCCTCACTACTAGGGCTCTTTCACAGGATTAGAAAGTGGGAAGAGATGGTAGAAGAGAGAAATGTGTTCTAATAGCCAGCTGCAGGCTTAAGAGCACATTAAGTCTAATGGTATACACACTGCGATAGAAGGATGGAGAAATGGATGGATTGATAGATGGACTGAGTGATGCACAAATGAATTAATGAAAGATTGAATGTTCGAACAGATTAATATATTTGGCAGCAGAGTTTTGAAGTTTCTGATGTCATTTTAATTGAAAATACCAACAACTTTAAAACAGATGGGTAGGATAAGGGCCAGCTTTAATTTTTTAAAAAAAGATGATAATCCTTCAGTCTCTAATAGAGTACTAATCATCAGGTAAATGATTTATCAAGTCAGATACTTCTGTATACACTGATACATTTGATTCCACTTGGAATCCACTTGGAGTATATTTTGAGCATGAAGTTTAGTGACTTCTCATTACAATGATTAGGGAGATGTGTATTATTACACCTTCACAGTCACAAATTGTGAAATCCACTTGCCTTTGGAGAAAGGACAGTTGCAGTTCCTCTTTTGTCTATTTATTTATTGTATTACCAGATTTTTTATAGTCTTTATCTTGTTCTTTTGAAGCCGTAGCATATTTTTATCAAAGAAGTGAACCTTATTATAATTTCTTGGTGTGGCAGTCTTTACTTCCTTTGCTCGTCGAACCTCAACTGCTAGACAGATGACAGAGCTCCTACCAGAGTTCTACATGTGCTACTTTGGATTTACAACACATATTTTTGGGGGACACAGAATACATTTTATTCTGAATCCTACATCAACATCAGATATCAGATGTGGAGCACAATCTGTGTTGCTCAGACAATAGTAATATTTATAATTAGGTTAGAGGCAATTGTGTTTAAAACATATAATAAAATATCCATGTCCTCTTCTGAATCCAGGTTGAATTTCTGGCAATTCATTGTTGATATATTGCTACAATTGTTTCGGAATCATCTTCAGCAATTTACCTGTAGGTGATATTAATGATATAGATCAATAATTCTGTATTTCATTGGATCACTTTTCTTTGGAATGAGCTTGAATGTGGATCTCTTCCATTTGATTAGCCAGGTAACTGTCTTCTAGATTTCTGGCGTAGATGAATGAGTGCCTCCAATGTTGAATCCATTTGTTAAAACATCTCAATTGGTATTCGTCACTTTCTGGGGCCTTGTTTTTCACCAAAGCCTTCAGTGCAGATTGGCCAACTTCTTTCCTTTGGTTCTTGATCATATGCTGACTCCTAAAATGTCTGAATGTTGGCCAATTCTCTTTGGTATAGTTACTCTGTATTCCTTCTGTCTTCTGTTGATGCTTCCTGTACGTTCAGGTTTTTACCCTTAGAATCCTTGAGTATTGCAACTCGAGGCTTCAATTTTTTCCTTCAGTTCTTTCAAGTTAAAAAGTACCAAGCATGTTCTTCCCTTTGGGTTTTCTAACTCTTGGTTTTTCACATTTCATTATAATACTTTACTTTGTCTTCTCGAGCCACCCTTTGAAATCTTCTGTCCAATTCTTTTACTTCGTCATTTCTCCCATTTGGCTTAGCTACTCTACTTTCAAGAGCAACTTTCAAAGTTTCTTCTGATATCCATTTTAAAGACCTTTTGCTCTTTTCACGCATGATGTCTGTTCTTAATGTCATCACACAACTCAGCTGGTCATTAGTATTCAATGCATTAAATCTCTTCAAAATGGTCCCTAAATGTAGGTGGAATATACTCAAGGTCATACTTAGGCTCTCATAGACTTGCCTTAACTTTCTTTAGCTTCCATTTGAACCTATATGAGTAATTGTTGATCTGTTCCACAGTCAGGCCCTGTCCTTGTTCTGACTGATAATATTTTACTTCTCTATTGTCTTTTTCCACAGTTGTAGTCAGTTTCGTTCTTGTGTATTCCATCTGGTGAGGTCCATGTGTACAGTCATTGTATATGTTGTTGAAGACAGGTATTTGCAATGAGTAAGTTACTGGTCTTACAGAATTCTATTCTGCAATCTCTGGCATCATTTTTATCAAGAAGGCCATATTTTCCAACTACTGATCCTTGTTTGTTTCCAATTTCACACTCCAATTACTGTTAATTATCAATGCATCTTGATTGCATGTTTGATCAATTTCATATTGCAGAAGTTGGTAAAACTCTTCAATTTATTCATGTCTGCTTTAACAATCAGTGCGTAAATTTGAATGAAAAGTAGTATTAACTAGTATTATGCCTTCTTTGTAGGCATATATGGATATTTTCCTATCACTGACAGTGTTGTACTTTAGGATAGATCTTACAATGTTCTTATTGATGATGAATGCAATGTCATTCGTCTTCAATTCGTCATTCTTGGCATAGTAGACCATATGATTATCCAATTTAAAATGGCCAATACCATTCCGTTTCAGCTCACTAATTTCTAGGATATTGCTCTTCAAGTGTTCCAGTTTTCTTAGATTCATACTTCATCTATTCTGTGTTCCAGTTATTAATGGATGTTTGCAGCTGTTTCTTCTCATTCTGAGTTATCTTTTGAGCCCTTTCCAATATAAGGAGCTTGTCTTTCAGCACTGTATCATATAGAGCTCTGCTGCTTCTCAGAAGGTTTTCAGTTACCAGATTTTTTGGAAGTAGCACACCAGGTCCTTCCTCCTAGTTTGTCTTAGTCTAGAAGCTCCACTGAAACC